AACTTATGTGTGATTGGAATTCCACAAATAAAACCACAGAGAAAATTGTCAAAGATTTGTTGGAAGGGAACTTCCCTAACATGATTAAAGACAAGAAAATATGCATTAAAGTGTTCATCAAACCTAAAAAGGATAGATCCAAAAAGAAAATCACCCAGACATCACAATCAAATTTTCTAAAACCAAAGACAAAGAAAGAATACTGAAATCAACACAGGAAAACAAAAAGTTATATACAAAAGGCAAACAATAAGACTAAGATCTGGCTTCTCAGCAGAAGCCATGCAGATGAGACGGCAATGGGATGACACATATAAAACCCTGAAAGAAAAAAAATTGCCAACCAAGAATTATCTACCCAGAAAAATTGTCCCTCAAATATGGTGGCAAAATTAGGACATTTGCAGGTAAAACGAACTTAAGTGAATTTGTAAAAACAAGATCAACCTTACAAGAGATGGTAAAGGGAGTCTTTCAGACAGAGAATCAACAACAGCAGAAAACTTGTGATTAACATACTTGACATCATAACCCAGAAACCAACCCAGATATAGAAGTATCTAAAATAAAATAAACTTACAAGAAGAATTTTTTAAATTTTGTTTTTTATTTCTTCCATTGCCCAGTAGTTTTTAAGGAGAGTGTTATTCAGTTTCCATGTGTTTGATTTTTTTTTTCTTGATCTTCTTATTGTTGATTTCTAATTTTATAGTATTGTGATCTGAGAAGATGCTTTGCAGTACTTCAATGTGTGTAAATTTATTGAGGCTTGTTTTGTGGCCTAGCACATGGTCTATTCTGGACAATGTTCCATGTGTGCTGGAAAGAAAGTACATTGTGCTGTGGTTGAGTGAAGTGCTCCAATCATGTTTATAAGGTCAAGTTGTTGTTGTTGTTGTTATGTGCCATTGAGTCAGACTTGACTCATAGCCACCCCTCCTTGGATTTCCGAGGCAGTATCACTACGGAAGTAGATTGCCCCATCTTCCTTCCAAGAAGTGGCTGGTGGGTTTGAACCGCCAGCCTTCTGTTTAGCAGTTGAGTGCCTTAGCAAATCAAAACAACAAGATATCATCTCACCCCAGCAATAATAGCAGAGTTTAACAAAACAGAAAACAATAAATGCTGGTGAGGGTGTGGAGTGTTTGAAATTCTCATATACTGCTGGTGCCAGTGTAAACTGGTAAAACCACCATGGAAAATGGTATGACTCTTTCTTAAAAAGTTGGAAATAGAAATACCATTTGATCCAGTAATCCCACTACTAGGTATATAGCCTAAGGAAGTGAGAGGCAGGACATGAATACATATATGCACACCCATGTTCATCACAGCACTAATCACAATAGCAAAGAGATGGACACAACCTAAGGAGCCATCAATGGATGAATGGATAACCAAACCATAGTACATACACACACTGAAATAGTATGCAACATTAAAGACTAATGAAAAATCCACAAAA